AAAAAAAAAAAGAAAAGAGAGAGAGAGAAAAAAAAGATAAATATGAAGCGGTGAAGATGAGCCGGGGCAGAGCCACGGGCGCACGGCGGGCTGCCGCGGGGGCTCGGAGCCGAACCGCGCCGTACCGAGACAGGTCGGGCTGAGCCGGGCTGAGCCGAGCCGAGCCGGGCCGGGCCGGGCCGGGCAGCGCGGGGCTGGGCTGGGCTGGGCTGGGCTGGGCTGGCAGCGGGGCCGGTGCTCGGCGCCCAGCCCGCCGGCCCGGCCCGGCGAGCGGCACTCGCGCTCCCGCCCCGCTGCCCAACTTCTACTCCCCTCGCATGGTAATCGCCCCCTTTGGGAAGTGACGTCACGCCGCGCCCAGCCAATCCCCGCGCCCTCATTTAAATCAGCGCCCCCTTTCCCGCGCTTTCCAGCCCGGGATGGGCTTTGCAGCGGGACGGGCCGGGCCGGGCCGGGCCGGGATCGGCACCGGGCGGCACCGGGCCCTCCGCCACACCCCGCCACCGGCCGCCTCCTCCCGCCCTGCCCGGCCTGCGCCGCGGGTCGCTCACCTCCCCTACCCCCTGCCCGCTTCCTCCCGCCCCGACGTGCCCCCGCGGCACCTCCGCTGGGCTGCGGGAGAGGCGAGCAGCACCCCTGCGCAGCCCTGCACCTGCAGCTAACCTCCCTTTCCCCGTCCTCGGCACTCCCCTCTCTCCTTCTCGCCCCTTTTCCTTTCCCCTCTCTTCCTTTTCCCTCTCCCCATCCCCTCTCCCCTTCACTCTCTCCCTTTCACTGGCCTTTCCTTTCTCCCCACCTTTTCCCTTTCCATCCATTTTCTTTTCGTATTCCCGACTCCTTCTCCCATTTTTCCCTCTCCTCGCCGTGCACCCCCCCACGCAGCGTGCCTCTCTCACACCTTCTCCTCCCCCAGCAATCTCTTCCCGTCCGGCCTCCGCACCTGGGGGCAGCCCGAAAGACCCTTTCTCCGCAGCCAGACGGGGGCCCGCCCGTCCCGAGTCGTGCCCCGGGGACGCACCCGCGATCCCCCACACATCCACTCTGCTCCCCATTTCCCCACACTTTTAATTATTTCCCCTCCAGGTTCTGCTATTTCCTGCACAGATTCTTAACGCGATGTGCGTGTAGCGGCGAATCCGGCACATACAAATAATAACAGCATCAATAATCAGACTAAAATGCCAGGAGCTAAATATGATTATCTGAGGTGCTTAACTGACCTATCCTCACTAAAAAATAAATTCAAAAATTAAAAAAAAAATTAGAATTGTAATCCCTCGCCGCTTCTGAACATCGCCTTTCTTTAAATCCCAGACGCGGGTTAAATGTGACCTGCTACAAAACGAAGCGATCTCGGCGGGAGCAGCCGCGGCAGAGCGCTGCCTGCCGGTCCCGCCGCCTCCGGCTCCCGGCGAGCGTCGCTCGGATTATTTATTTCTCCCTCTCTTCGCCCTCCCCCTCCCCGCCATCCCCTTAAAAAAAATTAAAATTAAATAAATAAAATCTACGAGCTCAATCAGGATAAAAGCTAAAGGACGAGGGCTGCCAGCCCTTTGCGAGCCGGCGCTGCTCCCGGCGCCCAGGCGAGCCCGGCCACCGCTGCTTGGCTCCCGGGAACTGCCCGTTCCATCCCGCCTCCTGCCTAACGAGAAACGGGCCCCGGTGTGCTCTGGCCACCCCGACGGGGCTGGAGAAGGTGGAGAGAAATAATTTCTCTGTCTCCAGCCCTTCGGTGGCACCCCCGCGGCCCGGAGCCGCCCGGGAGGGGACTTGGCCGGCGTTTATTTTAATCTATACTGGAGACAGGGAGGAAAATATTGCCATGAATGGGATCTCCTTAATTTTACGGCCTTGGATTTTCTCCTAATTTATCGGTTTCGCTGTTAGGGTGGTCGCTGCTAGAATGCTGGCGGCTGGGGCGGGGGAAGTCGCCCGCCCGCCCCGCTGCCTCGGAGCGCAGCCCGGGGATGCGGGGACGGTGGCACCGAGCGGGCACGGAGGGCTCGCCTTGCCCGGGGACCGGCCTCGCTTTACCCCCACGGGGGAGGCCCCGTTACTCACCGCGGGGCCCCGGTGGCGGGGAGAAGCTTGGGGCGCCGCCGACAGCTTTCCCCACTCCCGGGGCCGTTTCGGCGGCGATGCGGCCCCGTTCCAGCCCCGTTGTCCCTGCGGCAGCGGCGAGGGGGCCCAGACGGGCAGAGCCAGCCCTGCTAAGCCGCAGCTCTGCCCGGCTGCCGCCATGCGAGATCTCCCGCCCGCCGTGCCGAGCCCCCGGGCCGCCGTGCCGCTCAGGCGAGGATGCTGCGGGTGAACCACTGCACCTCGCCGGGCTTCTCGGGGCTGGAGACGAGATCCCCTCTCTCTGCCGGTCAAAGGAGGTGATTTTCTTGGCAGAAACATATATTATATTAATTTTCTTCCCTGCTCATTTTCGGCAATATTTTGCTCTGCTCGGAGCTCTCGCCTTGACCCTCTCTCTCCGTATAGGCAGAGACCCAGTACGTGGGAGAGAATACCATGGGCTCGGGGTATTTTTGTTTGTTGTTAGGCTTGGGTATTGTGGGATTTTTTTTTTTGAATTCTGGTTATTTTGGGTTTGGTTTTTATTTTTTTCTTTTGTGGCGGGTAGGGCTTGTTTGGGCTTTCTTTTTGGCGCAATTTTAGCAAGATGCGTACAAAATGGCTCCTTGGCACAGCGCAAAGCACCATCGAGAAGCCTGGGGAGGCATCGGCGGGGCTGCCCTGGCTCCGGAGCTCCGATGGCATCACCCGGAGCCAGCTCTCGTCCTCCTGCCCTGGGCCGCCCACGGGGGCCGCGGGACTCTCCTCCATCTGCACGGGAGAAAAGCACCCACGGCGGCGGGCGGCCCGACGGGACGGGGAGGGACGGCGGTGCCGGCGTGGCCCTGGCCATGGTGCTGCACCGGCCCCGGCCCTGCGGACCTCCGCCCGCCCGCGGGCAGGGCGGCCGCGCTGCCCGCTCCCTCCGCGGGTGATCCCGGCGCCAGGCAAGGCGGGCGGCCCCGCTGGCCGCACCTCGGAAGAGCCCGGTCACCAGGCCGCCCCTGAATTATTTAACGTGATCGCCCAGGAACGAGTCCGCTGCCTTCCCCTCTTCTACGTCCTGCACGTCTGACGTCACTTTTCTTTAATTAGGAGAAGTTATTTTTAGCCAACCTGGAGTAACCCCCCACGCCTCGCAGCCTCGAGCTGCATCTTCTCCTAATTGTTTTTTTGGGATGGTTTTTCTTTTCTTTTTTTTTTATCTTTTTTTTTTTTTTTTTTTGAGGGGGGGGTTTTTTTTTTCCCTCACCATCTAGGCTTGGCAAAGAAGCGGCAGCTCCCGCCGGGCGTGAAGGAAACGCGTTGCTTTGTTTAGTAATTAAAAGCAGCCTCTGAGCAAGCCCCGGCGCCGAAAAGGGAAAGCGGCTGCGTCTCACCCCCGGCTCCTCTTTTCTCTCCGGCCGTCGGAGCCGGGACCCAGGTGGGGACCGCCCCGGACCTTCCTCGCTTGGCGGGGCGAGGTGCTGCCCGGCCGGGGCCGGGGGTGGAGGCACGTCGAAGGGATCCGGCCAGGTGCAGAGTCTCAGGCCACCTGCACTGCTATGATTCGGGTTTCCTTAAGGCTGAGGCCTAAAATGCGTTTCACTTCCAGGGTGATACAGGGGAAAAAAAAAAAAAAAACAAACAAAACAAAACACAAAAGCCAAACAACGATCCCCGAGGAAATAAGAAGTCGCGGGAAGGCAGGGAGCAAAAAGGAAGAATGAATGGGGGTGAAAATAGAAATTGTTAAAAATTAGGGTAAAAGCAGTAAGAAAAATAAAATTATTATAAACAAGGATAAAATTTAAAAAAATTTCCTTTTTTTTTTCTTTTTTTTTTCTTTTCTTTTCTTTTCTTTTTTTTTTTTTTTTTTTTTTTAAAGCGAAGGAAATGCATTCAGCAAATGAAAAATGAAAATAATCCACTGGCACCAGAAGCCGGTGGCAGATCAGGGCACAAGCAGCGGTGGCCCCGTTGCTGGTCCTCAGGGGTAAATCCGAGCAGGGGAGCGGGACGCCCTGATATCCTCCCCTTCATCCCTAAAAACAGGTCCAGTAGCAGCACCCGCTGCACCGGGAGGATGAACTTCCTCGGGAGCCCGAGATTTCTCCCGCGGCCTAAAGCCCGGCTGTCCCGGGAGGCTCGGCCTCATCCGGGCGTTTTGGCCCGTGCCGCTTCTCCGACCGGCGAGAGCGGAGGTTTGGGGGAAACTCGGCAGCCCCCCGGCAGCGCTCGGCCCCAGCTGCCCGCCGTCCCGTCGGGGCTCAGCCCGTCCCGGGCCCCTCTCCCGAGCTGCAACGTCCCGGGCATCCAGGGAGAAGCTGCCGGAGCGAACGCGTCCCCGGCAGCAAAAGGTTCGCGGTGTTTCCACTCGTGCCCCGCGAAGGGTGAGCGGGGCCAGGCAGCGGCGCGGGGCTGTCCCGGTCCCGCGTGGTGCCGGCACCTGGAGGAGCCCAACTTCCCGGCGGGGACCGGCCCAACTTCGTATCCCCCGTCCTGTCTCCCTGCCTCCCTCCTCCCCCTCCGGCAGCCGGTGTGTCCCCCCGGAGGAGACTGTCCCCCGCACCCTCCGCCTCCCCGGGGCCGCCCCGCCGAGGCGGCGATGCCCGGCCGCGACACTCACTCTGCTGCCGTGCGGAGGGCAGGACGGAGGTCCCGGGAGAAGCGGGCGGCGGGGCCATTCCCCTCCCCGGGGCGGGCGGAGGGGCGGGCTGGGCTGCCCCCGGCCGAGCGGCGGCTCCCGCAGCCCCCAGCCCCGGGCGCGGGCCGGCGGGGGCGGCGGAGGCGGCTCTGCCCCGGCTCCGCGCGTCTTCCCGGCTGCTGCCGGTGCCGGCTCTGGTCGCTGGCCGGGAGCTGCCGCCGCCGGCAGGCTCTGCCCGCACTGACGTCAGCCCGGCAGCCGCCTATTCACTCCAACCATGGCGGAGAGGAGGAGGAGGAGGGAGAGGGGGAGGGGAGGAGGCGGTGGGAGGGAGGGGGAGAGGAGGAGGACGGGAGGAAGGCGGCGGTGGCGGCGGGGGCTGGTGGCTGGCAGGCTCCGCCGAGCAGAAAGCGCAGCCCCTCCGCCTCACCCCTTAATTACCCCCCGAGGATGGGGCTGCGCGGGGGAGGGGGGCCGTGTACCCCCCTTTCCCCCCGGAGAGCCCCTCTGCCTCCGGCTCCCCCGGGGCCGCCGTCGCTCACCTGGCCGCCCCACCGGGCACCCCACTCTTCCCCCGGCCTCGAGAAG